GGGTCACGTGACCCCCGCTGTCGTAACAATACATTACTTACGCCAATGTGTGGTGAATAAAGTGGTGTGAGAAGCAATTTGTGTTTTGGTGAGAAATTGGTTAAATGTAACTCCTGCAGAGAATAACAATCAAAATGATGGGAAGCTTCGAAAAATTAGGAACAAACCACGAATCAGGAAATATCTTATAGTTTATTTAAGCTTTCTTTTCGTTTCTGAAAATGCTTTATTGTTAATGTTTTGAAAGCTATTGAAATTTTACGAGCACAAGTAAGATATTCTAAATTTTTACATTTAAACAAAAAGGGGAAAAAGTTCTAAGATGATAAACAAAATGAAATTACCTTATTATTTTAATTTCAATTATGTCTTCCAGAAGATTGGCTTGATTGTTGTTAAACACAAAGCTTCTCAATGGGCCATCTGTACTCTGCTTAGTACAGTTATCGAAAACTGATTTTTACCGTCGTAAATTGGCAGACTTACAAGTGAGCCACTGGGGGGCGCACCAGAAGAAACCGAAACGTAAAATGGCGAACCGTGGAAACATTGAGGTGGTGGTTCCAGATGCGATAGTTGAAATACAGCAAATTAACTCCTTAAATCAAAGTCAGGTTATAGATTTAAAACAGTGGATGCAGAATTTACCACAAAGACTCCATAATGTTCCGCTCAATTGTATTTCTATTCCTGGTAAGTAGTTAATGCTGCCTACGTGAACTGACTAATAGTAATACGAATTACTGTAATAATAATGCTTTTTTTAAATAATAATAATTAAGTACAAGATGAGCATAAATATAAGGTGGTCAAACCGGGACATCGTTAGCGTCGCGAAATGCCAACTGAGTCTTAGGCCTAATACTGATAGTCTATTATTTAGCGTAAATGGCGTATCTAGGTGCTACAATGATAGCTGAAAAGTAGGTTACAACTTTTCTTTAAAAACTTGAACTTTCAGGCAAATATATAAAGCCATCTACCAAAAAATAAAATAAGTTAAAACCATGACATTTGTTACGTCCCCAAAGATCTCTGTAGGACAGAAGTGACCAAAGTGGGACGTATGGTCAGAAAGATTAAGTAATACATTCTTTAGTGTTAATGCTTTGAATGGAGCATGGAGGATATACTTTTTCTGACTTTCCTTTTGTGATCTTAGCATTATTTTATGTACAACAAAATATTCAATATTATATATATGTATTGAGTGTTTCTTTGTGTGATGACACACTTCACGCTAATTGTTTTATCTTGTTAATGTCCAGGATCTCATGACTCTGGAGCTTATTCAGTCAGTTCACTGAAAGATTATGCACCAGATGGGCGTTTTCTATTCAACTCTCGTGTGGGCCAACTTTTGGGTTCAGCAGCCAAAAAAGTAATGTGTGACTGGATGAGAACTCAAGACTTGAACTGTAAGGAACAGTTAGAAAATGGAATTCGATATTTTGATTTTAGAGTTGCAACAAAGCATGAAAGTTCTGATTTTTTTATTGTTCATGGATTGTATGGAGATTCCATGGGCACTATACTGGACAGCATCAAAGAGTTTCTTGATTTAAATTCGAAAGAGATAGTATTGCTTCATTTTCAGCATCTTTATGTTATATCGAATGATGACCATCACAGATTACTACAGCAGATTACAGACGTTTTTGGATCCAAAATTTGTCCTGTGGTACGTAAGGTAGAAGAGGTGACTTTATCGTGGATGTGGAGTCAACAATACCAAGTTTTAGTGTTTTATGTAAATGATATCGCCAATTATCACCCATTTCTCTGGACAAAAGAATTCATCACTAATCCTTGGCCAAAGGTTATAAAAGGTGATGAATTGATACAGTTTCTGACTGAACAGCATAAGCAGGAGAAACCCCTCAGAAAGTTTGTGGTCAGTCAGGGTGTCCTTACACCTTCAGCCTCTTTCATCATGAGACATCCACTTTCCAAATTCCGAGATCTTGCAGAGTGTGCTCACTTGGCTCTTCAGGAGTGGTTGAAAGGGAAACAAGATTTGAATATTGTCATTTCTGACTTTGTGGACATGAAAGATTGCTGGTTTCCACGCATGGTAGTAGGATTGAATTACAGTAGGTCTAATCATAGTGAAGAAGTAAATGGTAAAGGTAACTTGGTTACTAAATAATTTTATTTTGGACAGTTTGTGTTTAAAGTGTGGCACAATAACTTATTTTATGTTTCATATACAGTAAGTGTGTTACAGGTCACATTGATTGTTAATGAATAAAAAAGTCTTACTTAAAATACACATCTGTTTTGATAAGGTTATAATTCACAGTTAAGTTGAGATTCCAAAGGAAAAGTGTTGGTTTTCACTTAGCATTATCCACATATAACAAAGTATATGATTTAAAAAAATTTTTGGTATGCAATTGTTTATATGGAAAATTGATAGTCTCATTGGAATCAGAGATGACTTGGAATCAGTTATTGTTAAAATCATATTTTCCAGCTCTATCTTGTTACCTTGAGTCTTTATAATACACTGCATATGAAAAGCACATATCTGTTTATATTTTCAATATAAGAAATAGTTAGAGAAATTTCAATGTAAACTTATGAATAGATTTGAATTTCTTTACTCATGACATTGAACATCAAATTCAAAAATGTATCTGCTTAAGATGGAAAATAAGTTTCTGGTATTCAGGAAGTTGTTGACATTTTTCATTTAATTTATATTTGTATATGGAACTTGTAGTCTTAAATTTAATCTTGTGTGTGTGATTTTTTTTTTGAGGCCCAAGGCTGCTTTCAACCATTAGGGCACCTTAGATGCTAATACATCATCAATGATTATCATGCAGACTTACCTGATGACACCAATCTCCTCCCCAAGTGACCATCCCTAATTTAGCAGTGAAAGACTAGAGGGAGGGCAGCTAATCAACACCACCAACTCTTTTACCACTGAATTGTGGGATTGACTGTCACATTACAATGCCCCCACAGCCGAAAGGGTGAACACGTTCGCTGACAGGAATTCGAACCCACAACCTAACAACTAGGTTGTGCCAGGGCTGTATACAAGCTTAGATGTATTTATTTAGATGAAAATAATTATTGTTTGTGCACAAATGTAACGTTTTATAGTCAGATTGTATTGAGAAAAAAATAAGTTTTGACTATAAAAGTCTCTGATATAGAAGAGAATTTTACATAATATGTAGTACTCTAGAATATATAGCAAGCAAACACTAACTAGCTTTTATTAACTATACTAATTTTTAGTTACCTGCACTTATTTTTTAAAAGTCCAATTTAAATATCTTGTACAAACCAATTAAAACAAAATAACTACAGTGATCGAACTGAGTCTGAACAGTTTCACTTTTTAGGGTTCAGAAAAATGTTTTAAAATAACTAGTAATCTGATCTATTATATCAATGTACCTATTTATTTGATATTGTAATACAGAGTAAGAGTTTAGATATTTGTGTTTTAACCTGTTTCTTTACATATATTTATAACTCAGAAGTTTTTTTTAGTAAGTCAAATTTAAAGTATTTTGAAGGTAATTTTTTTATTTATGAAGAAAGAAAGAAACCACCCAAAGAAGTAATGCTTGTGTGGGAAATTGTAATTTTTTTGTTTCTTATTCTAGCTAATGTAATGGATGATTTACTTCTTCCAATTTTAGAACTTTATTTAATTATCAGACCTTCAAATCTCAGTGTTGGGTGGAAGTATTGTATTCAGTATTCTTTAATTAGTCAAAGTATGAATGATTGCTCTGTTAAACCCCTTAATTAAGTGAGAAGTTGTAAACACAGGTCTTTAATAAGTGGTGATACTGAAATGTTGTGGTATTTAAATAATACTGAAATGTTGTGGTATTTAAATAATATTAAAATGTTGTGGTATTTAAATAATACTGAAATGTTGTAGTATTTAAATAATACTGAAATGTTGTGGTATTTAAATAATACTGAAATGTTGTGGTATTTAAATAATACTGAAATGTTGTGGTATTTAAATAATACTGAAATGTTGTGGTATTTAAATAATACTGAAATGTTGTAGTATTTAAATAATACTGAAATGTTGTAGTATTTAAATAATATTAAAATGTTGTGTTATTTAAATAATACTGAAATGTTGTGTTATTTAAATAATACTGAAATGTTGTGTTATTTAAATAATATTGAAATGTTGTGGTATTTAAATAATACTGAAATGTTGTGGTATTTAAATAATACTGAAATGTTGTGGTATTTAAATAATACTGAAATGTTGTGGTATTTAAATAATATTGAAATGTTGTGGTATTTAAGTGATATTGAAATGTGATATTTAAATAATACTGAAATGTTGTGGTATTTAAATAATATTGAAATGTTGTGGTATTTAAATAATACTGAAATGTTGTGGTATTTAAGTGATATTGAAATGTGATATTTAAATAATACTGAAATGTTGTGGTATTTAAGTGATACTGAAATGTTGTAGTATTTAAATAATACTGAAATGTTGTGGTATTTAAATAATATTAAAATGTTGTGGTATTTAAATAATATTGAAATGTTGTGGTATTTAAGTAATATTGAAATGTTGTGGTATTTATGTAATACTGAAATGTTGTGGTATTTAAATAATACTGAAATGTTGTGATATTTAAATAATACTGAAATGTTGTGGTATTTTAAGAATGAAACTAAAGCTCATAAATAAATCTTCCAAACAAATGGACATCTTTATATCAAAAGTAAATATTTAACATTATTGTATTAAATAACAACTTTTACCAAGCAGTTTTAGTGTTGAGGGATTTGTAGTTTCTCCTTACAAGCAATATCTGTTATAATGTGGGATTTCTAGAATCTCCATACACACAGTTTTGGTATTGAGGTGTTGTCTCTTATGGTGAGGGATTTCTAGATTCTCCATACACACAGTTTTGGTACTGAGGTGTTGTCTCTTATGGTGAGGGATTTCTAGATTCTCCCTACATACAGTTTTGGTATTGAGGTGTTGTTTCTTATAGCAAGGGATTTCTTCATAAAAGCAGTTTTGGTATTGGGTGTTTACCTGTGATAGCAAGGGATCTCTAGCTCTTCAACAGAAGTAGTTTAAAATGCTATAAGTGAAGAACTGGTATCTCTTTAATAAATGTAGATGTTTTCAACTGTAGGTTTAAAACTGCAGTTATCTAACAAATATCTTATTTTGGTTTCTCACGTTTTCAAACTCCAGTTAAGTTCCATCTATATACGTTTTCTACGGTATACGTGGATTAGTAATTGCCTCCAGGTTTGAAATAGAACTACGTTAACTGGTAAAGAATTGTGTTGGTGTGTTATAACAAAGATCCTATACAACTTTCAATTTGTTAATGTAATATCAAACTGTCATTATATCAGAGTAGAATGTGCAATTCTGTGATTTTTTTACTTTATACACATTTATGTATTATGAGCACTTTTCTCATTAACTTCCAAATGATGCAATAAAATTTAATTAATATGTTATAATTATTTTTTTTATAGTGCAGATAATGTAATGGAAAACCAGGTATACCTTAATAAATATTTATTGCCAAGTTTGTTACGTGCTATATCTTATTAGAATATAATGGTAGACACATCTTTTTATGTTTCTTCTTTCCTAATATCCTTCACTCATTACCATCCTCAGAAAGACAAGTATTTACACGATAAAAGTACTTAAACTTTAACACACCAAAGCCAATTCTTTCAGTTTTAAATTTGGTGAAAATGACCCATTTCTGGTATTGTCTTTCCAACATCTTGTATTGTTACACGGGTAAAGAAAGTTCACACAGTTTTTACTCTCGTGTGAAATAAGACTAGAATATTGCTACACCCAATTTTTGAATAGTCAATACATAATTTAAAATTAAGAATATTTTATCTATAAAAGTGCTCATAAAGTAACAGATTAAGTTGTTTTTCTGAAACTTAAAGCTGTTCTATTGATTATTTGCTAAAGTTTTAAAAAATCACTTATCAAAAATAATTGTTAAGGTGTGTATGCCATTTTTATGCTGGTGATGAAGAATTAATTGGAACAAATAGCTTATTTGAATAGTGTATGTCTCAGTCTGATGAGCTCTGTATTGAGAGAAGCACATTGTTGGCAGTGGATGTGATGGGCATAGTGTGGTTGAAATACTATTATTTCTGCTTCTGATTAAATAATGTAGTGTTAAAAAATATAACAGGCTTAATACATATGTCTTATGGCAAGTATTAATCTAACAGAAGTAATATTTAAGACTTCAACTCTGTGTATTTTATTCTTTCTATAAAGCACATAAAGGCACTAATATTATACAATATATTACATCACATTTAACATGTACCAGGTGGTAATAAGTTATTTCAATAGGCTAATTACATGCACACAGTTTAGAGGTTGGGTTTGGCATGCACAAAACTGAAACTAACTCATCACAAAAAAACTTTCATTACGACTATACAGCAGGTGTGTGTGAGGGGGGACAGATTGTAATTTTTAAAATTTTATTTTCTCTATATAAAAATTTAGTATTTTTTATTACATGGCCAATACTTGTATCCAACTAACAATTGAAGAAGAAAAAACAGCTGCAAGAAATATATTACAAATAACACATACCACATCAGTATTATTAATTTAGTTCTTACTTCACATTGATATGCATAGATATAATGACGTTATACTTGATACAAATGTTTTGATCATTCCAGTAAAATTGACATACAATTTACAAGTTTATTTAACCCTCAACCTACACATGATATGTAATGTTTTAATTAAATACCGAGTTATTTATTGACTGGCTTCACTTTTCATAAATCTATATATATATACAATAAAGCAGCTTTGTAATTGGATTTGAGTAGTGAAACGCAAAATGCACGTTCAGCACTTATGGATGATTTTTAAAGTTTACCACTTTTAACACCATTAAAAATCTTCCCAAAAAGTATGTAGTTCAAAAACTTCATTTAGGCATTACACCTTGATAAATTAGAAATACCAAAATATATTAGATTATTTGAACACTACCATGATATGATCAAACCTACATTCTAATTTCTAGTAAGTGTTTAGAATCAGACCAGTCAGAGTCAGACTATGCCATTTTCTCCAACAAAAGAGTGTTGACTGTTGACAACTCACCAGCATAACCTGGTGTGAAAAAAAGAAACATTTGTTACTGTTTTAAACAGCAAAGGAATGCATAATAAAGTGAATCTGGTAGATGTAACTTATTAATCCCAATATTCTACATTTAAATGTTAAAACATCTGAAAACTTAAACATACTGGCTAGTCTAATATCGCTAATGTACATTTCAGAAAGGTGGGGAAGAGTATCTTGTTAAAAAAAAGCCAAGTTTCTACTGCTAAAGCTAAATGAGGTTTAATTTTATGCAACCGAGAAGTTCCTTCTAATATTTATTGTACAATTCTAGAACTGTGAAATTTCTTGTCAAATAATAGGACAGTCAACTGTAATTATCCCAAGTAACACAAAAATATAAAGTTAGAAATCAATGAGAAAATGTTTTTTGACTTAAGTAAAGACATGGAAAGAAAGATGGATATTGTCTTCATGAATTCAAAACATCAAAAAATAAACTCTACAGAAGTCTCTTATTATGGTGTTCCTTTAGTATAAGTAGCTTTTGTAATATTAAACTGTACAACTTCACTAGGATTAAACAATATTATCCAAAATGTTTTTTCACACAATATGAATATACTTAAGAATTTGCTTGCTCTAAACCACATGAACTTAAGTATAAAGTACTTTCTTAAGTATATTCATGTGGTATAAAGAATGTTTGTTTAGAGTAAGTATTTCTTTATACCACATGAATATACTTAAGAAAGTACTTACTCTAAACAAACATTCTTTATACCACATGAATATACTTAAGTACTTGCTCTAAACAAACATTCTTTATACCACATGAATATACTTAAGTACTTGCTCTAAACAAACATTCTTTATACCACATGAATATACTTAAGAAAGTACTTACTCTAAACAAACATTCTTTATACCACATGAACATACTTAAGTACTTGCTCTAAACAAACATTCTTTATACCACATGAATATACTTAAGTACTTGCTCTAAACAAACATTCTTTATACCACATGAATATACTTAAGTACTTGCTCTAAACAAACATTCTTTATACCACATGAATATACTTAAGTACTTGCTCTAAACA